TGCCGACAGCGGCCAACCCTAGGGACCCCGGAGGGGATGGACTGAAGACAGTGACCAATCCATTTGTCTCGTGCCATCCCTCTCCAGCCTTCCACAAACTTTGGGCAGGGACACCACTCCTACCCTCTGGCTAATAGGACTCCATGGACCCAACCTCCATGACTTGATCTCACTTCCCTTTAAACTCTGTTCTAGTTGTAGCCTTCACAGCCTCCTGCAGCAAGGAGTTCCACAGGTTGACTCTTTGCTTTGTGAAGAACAACTTTCTGTTACTAGTTTGAAGCCTGCTACCCATTCCTTTCCTTTGGTGTCCTCTAGTCCTTCTATTATGGGAACTAATGAAGAACTTTTCTTGATGCACCCTCTCCACCCCACTCATGCTTTTATAGACCTCTATCCTATCCCCCCTCAGTCTCCTCTTTTCTAAACTGAAAAGTCCCAGACTCTTTAGCTTCTCTTCATATGGGACCTGTTCCAAACCCCTGATCATTGTAGTTGCCCTCCCCTCTCCCTCAATAAAGAGAGATTCTATTTTTGACCACATGTTTTCTTTATTTTGTACATCAGGAAGGGGGGCTAGGGAAGGATAAGTGGAAGGAGGTGAGGGAGGAATGGGGTACGGGCACCTGATGGGGAGGACTGGGCTGGTTCTGTGGGCTTCTGGGGGTGGAAGGTCTCCTGCAGCCCCCCAATTGCCCCCTCTCCCCAGATGGCAGCCTGCGGCAAGTGCAGCCGGTCTGATGGCCGAGTGCTGTGATGTGCCCAGTGTGGGTACTCCGGGCAATCCAAGCCAGGACTGCTTTGCAAGCGGGGCACCCCTGAGAACTGTCTGCCCAGGGTGGGGGTCGGGTCCCTTTAAGCACAGCCCTCGGCTAGCCTGAGGCAGCAGCTCCATGCTCTAAGTCCTCATCTGATGCCCTGTCGGCACTGCTTCCGGCCATCCTTAACCCCGGTTCAGGGTCCACTTAATGTGGACATGCTAGTTCGATTTAGCAAAACGCTAATTCGAACTAGTTTTTTAGTCTGGATCCGTTAGTTCGAATTAGCTTAGTTCGAATTAGCGCTGTAGTGTAGACATCTCCTGGCTGTTTTGTTTCTTTGGACTTGGTGCAAAATCTTTTATTAGTTTGAATTTAAGCTTCCTGAATGTTCCTTTGAGTTCAGAAGTAAAATTCCGGCCAAGTAACCAAGCCTTGTGGGTTTGTGCCAGAAAAACACATATAATCATAAAGCGTCAAGTACTAAGGTTATGCTTGATTTACTCAAATTCACACAACTTCCACTCTAAATCATGATCCTGTCCTGAGAACTGCTCAGATATACCCTTGTGCACTTGTTGAGCCCCAATGACAACAACAGAGCTCTACATAAGTGCATGGTTACAGCCACATGGTTCTCAAATTTGCTTCAGCTCAGCAACTCTGGTTTACAGCGTTTCATTCTGATCACTTTTATGAGGATTTAATGCAGTGTAATACAGAGAGGTAGTGCACATTCACACATCCAATTTAAATCAAAAGCAGCTGCAGGTGTTCAGCACCTCTCAGTATCAGGCCTATGTGTATGACTGGCCCATTTCAGAGATGCAGCTTTTGCACACAGACTCAAAGAATACGGAAGACACAATTATAACCAAAGTACAGGACAAGAAGTACATTTTTTAAATATATATCTTATGACAAGTTTGAGTTTGTTGTCTTAATGCTTTTTTTAAAGAAACTAATTTTGATAATGAGTAACCATATATTATGTTCATGGAAATAATAAAAAAAATGAAATTCTATTCTTTAACAACAATGAAGCAAATAATATAAGGCCTGATTTTCACAGGTGCTAAACAGCCACAGTTTCCACTGATATGGTCACTTGGCACTTCTGAAAATGAGGCTCTTCATTTTTAAAATTCTAGTTTATTGTCCTTTCTATTTCCAGCTTTCTATTTTTACTGATTTAAGCGCAATACAGTAATTCACAAAAATATAAAGTGAATCTATTTCAGGCAAAACACAATCTTCAAGAATGTTTGAATTGTTAAAATCATGTTTAAAATAGTTTTAAAAACAACATTTTTATTATTGGTATGGGTATGTTTCATTATAGAAGAGTTTCAGAATTTAGGTTTGTCACGTGGTATTTGAATGAGATGTCAAAGCAAAAATAAATCAGTGAGACTATGTATCTCACTGAAACACATTGTAAGAGCCTTTCTTGTAGCAGAAAGTTATTTTAAAAGCTGCTTTAAAAGTCACCCAAAATAAGCCTCTCTAAAAATGAACAAGCTTGGCAGGTTTTAGGTTTACCTTTTCAATGCTATTTTAGAGAGCTGTGTTTGGGCAGCCAGCATTCCAACACCCATGAGTATAAGTAAAAGATAAAACTGAATTGATAGAAAACCAGAGACCAATGATCAAAATGACTCCAATAAAATAATTTAAGCTCAGAACACCAATTATAAATAGTAGTACCATTATGTCCTCCTTCTAGAATAATTTTAAGGTATCTCTAGTGAGGGAGGATTAAGTATTGGGTTTAAACAGGACATTTAAATTACACTAAGTATTCAAATGATCACAACTGGATAGCCCTGCGTTAATATATTTCATATGAAAGAGTATATAACATCCATTATACTGTTAAAAGACTAAGAATAAAGGCTCTTAAAATGTTCTTTACAATATCTGAAATTTTCAGTTTTATTAATCTTTAAAATACACTTCATTCATTCCTGTTAAAGGCTTACCAGCCGTTGATTTCATTCTGAGAGTTGATATTCACTCCGAATTCCACCAGTCTTTGGACTTCCTCAAGGTCTCCCAAAGCAGCTGCTTCTCTCAGTCTCTCCTGGAGTTCTTTCTCCTCTATAAATGTTGTCATCTTTTTAAGGTCACTTTATTCTAAACTTTGGAGTTGTTAAGCAACTGCCAACTGAAGGAGATTTAACATTTTATAAAGTTAATATACTGAGTAGCAAGTCAGAGACTGGTAAGATAAAATTAGCCCTTCATGATAACAGGGGTATCTTATTCTTTTAATTTTAAATTCATATAGCATTTACTTTCTGTCTGCTACATTTAAATTAGATAGAATCAAGCATTTCTGAAGAGTATTAATGCCAACTACATAGTACAGTATCTGTTGCTGTTTCCTAAACTCTTCTCAGGGGGACTGTATTATCTGTGACAACTCTCTGACCTAGATATTTGGTTCCTACCAACAATACTGCATGCAATTCCTGGCTCTAGCTGTACTATTTACTGTCTGATTCATCAGCTACATTCAGACTCCTACTTCGCTATTTTTATTCAGCTACAATTAATTATTGTTTAATATACAAAGAGTTTTGAATGTACAATATCTTCCACCACAACATTATTTATTCCTACTGGTCCCAGAACTGCAAGTTGCTCTGTCTTGGGGCAGCTCAGCACCTGCGTATAGCCCCATCGAAACCAAATGAAGTCTCTATGTGGGAACACTGGTCCACACAGCGGAATAATTTGTAGGATTAGTGCCCCAATTGATTCCAGAAATTCACATTGTTTTTAATATTGTGCTAATTATCTTATTCATTTTAAGGCAAATAATGAGAGATATGGAGGAGAACACACTATTATAGTAATTTCACAACTATCTTATTATAGAACACAAGCTAAAATACACACTTGGGACTCCATTCTAAGGTCCAGCTGACTGTCCCCTAGCTGTATCATGGCATCTGGAGAGTCTTGCATGTCAGGAAAATTCACAGCAGCTACACTGAGCTAGAGCACCTTTATGGTCATTTTGGGCCACAGGAATAGCACAAAGGAGTAGATAGAGAAGCAGCATTTTGGGCCACAGGAATAGCACAAAGGAGTATTGGGGGCCAGAATCTGGCCATGAGTCAAAAATAAACTCTATATAATCTAGTGATGATTTAATGGCCTAAGCTTTACTCTTGCAAACAGTTTCACTGAAGTAAGGGGATCTCAACATTAGTAACTTACTCGTGCAAATAATTTCACTGAAGTAAGGGGATCTCAACATTAGTAAGAATTACTCAAGTAAGTAATTACATAATTGTAACAATTATTTAGAGATATTTAAAATAATATGTTCTCTCATATGTGGTAGTGTAATAAGAAAGCATCTATGGCCCTGATCCTGAAAGGAGAACTTAGGGGACAGTCCTCTGGGCCTACCTGCAGCCACTGTGACTTCAGTAGAGTTTTGTGCAAGTAGTGGGGGATCTACGGAGCTAATTTTCTTTACAGGATCAGGGCCTATGTGACCAACAATTAAAACAATCATATTTTTAAACCATTGTTTTGAGTAATGGACCCAATTCCCTAGTGCAGGGCCGGGAACTGGCAGTAGGCCAGCCCCAGTATGAGTCTGGGAGCTGGTGTCAGCCCCAGCCCCAGCATGGGGCTGGGAGCCAGTAGCCAGTCCTGCATGGGGCTGGAAGCATGAGCTATGGCAGGGGGAGGTGGGTTTACGCTAATATTTAACCGGTTAACTGATTAATCGGGATTTTACATCCCTACTAGCGCAAGAGGAGAATCAGATCTAAATTGGCATTGGAAAAGGTTCAGAAAAGGGCAATAAAAATGATTAGGGGTCTGGAACAGGTCCCATATGAAGAGAGATTAAAAAGACTTGGACTTTTCGGCTTAGAAGAAGAGGAGACTAAGTAGGGGATATGATAGAGGTCTATAAAATCATGACTGGTGTGCAAAAAGTGAATAAGAAAAACTTATTTACTTATTCCCACAATATAAGAACTAGGGGTCACCAAACGAAATGAATAGGCAGCAGGTTTAAAACAAACAAAAGGAAGTTTTTCTTCACTCAGCGCACAGACAACCTGTGGAATGCCTTGCCAGAGGATGTTATGAAGATTAGGACTTTAACAGGGTTCAAAAAAGAGGTAGGTAGATTCATGGAGGTTAGGTCCATCAATGGCTATTAGCCAGGATGGGTAGGAATGGTGTCCCTAGCCTATGTTTGTCTGAAAATGGATGACATGAGAGGGATCACAAGATGATTACCTGTTGTGTTCCCTCCCTCTGGGGCATCTGGTATTGGCTACTGTCAGCAGACTGGATACTGGGCTAGATGGACCTTTGATCTGACCCAGAATGACCATTTTTATGTCCTAAATATTTTAGATTTAATTAAATAATAGTAAACTGCCTATCTCACATTACATCACTCATTGTTTATTTACTTTTTGCACTTCATCCAACATGAAATATTTAAAAAAATTATATTAATATTTTACTTTTTGTTTGTAGTATCACTTTTTGGTTCTCACACATTACCATTAGGCTGTAATGTTTGGATTGCAAACATTTCAAGGGAATTTTAAAAGCAACCCAAAATAAAAAACAAAAATATCTGAGCAATTTTCTATTACACTCTAGGTCATACAGTATTTGATATGATTCAACGTTTGCAAAGTTAAGTAAGTTCAGTGTAACCAGTTTAATGAGATTTTTCAAAGCCACTATGGCTGCAATTGTATTGGATAAGGCATAATTTATTTGGCTGTGAGGGTTGGGTCAGTATCAGTGGTTTAAGAAAGAAGAAGTGGAAATCAATACAACTCCACCTCCTTTCCTAAAACTATCGAGGAACATTTCTACCTCCTCCTGATTTTTGTACATGGAATTCCTTTCATATTCCTCCTCTTTCTCCTTGGTTGTTGATGATGAACACCTTATTGATGCTCAATAAACAATGTAATAATTATAAATAATCAACTTCCTAGTAATGGATAAGATTAAGACACAATATCTGAGTCCAGTGACATTGCTCAGTGTTGTGGCATGTCACTGTGACCCACTGAACTTTCATGAGACCATGGCACCTCACTGTGCTGCAGTGACAGACACTTCTTTCCACTGTTCTGTTTATGTTTTCCACCTGTCCAGATTTTTCCAGATCATCCCTTTTTTAAACAGCTTCCCAAGAAATCTGTAAGTCCTCCTGGGACATTTAGGACGCAGGTACGCTGCACCATAGGTCAAAATAAGATACACATTTTGAGCTACGCAAATTGCATATCTCATTTTGATCTTATTTCAAAATAGCATATTTCATAATTTGGCGCTGTCTACATAATGCCAAATTTCAAAATAACTCGCTATTCGAAAACGTCCCTAACTCCTTGTGGAATGAGGTTTACAGGGATGTTGGAAAAGTGAGCCCAAAATAACAGACTTGCTGTTAAGATGTGGAATAGCTATTTCAGGATACACCGCTGTCCCGAAATAGTGTTGCCATATAAACGTAGCCTTAAGGTTCGGGATTTTGACAGACGAGTCACCTTTCAGGCTGCTTGCTGCATCTTCCTCCTCCATGCTAATGTCACTCCTCCTCCCATCTGGCTGCTCCACTGGCTCACTAAGAGCCGTTAAGCCACAGCTGCTAGTTTCTAGCTGACCAGCAAGATGCTGAGAGCAAAGAGCTTACTTCATCAGCTGCTGAGAACCCATTCCTCAGCCTGCTGGCAGTTGTTCTGCTCAGTGAAACTCCCTCCCTCCTGAGAATCAGATTTTTCCCTGCGTTCTATGCTGCCCCTTCCCAAACCCAGCTCAGGGATGACCTGTGCGTACCTCAGAGGCATACATACTAACTGTGTTGCAGAAGTGTCATAATGCCTCTGTGCCTTAGCTGCAAAACCATCTGTAACTTGACATTGAGACAGTTAACTGGAGTGAGAGTATGTCTACATTTAAAAGTGGTGCAGCTGCACCACTGCTGGAGAGCTAAAGTGTAGATACTGCCTACAGCAAGGGGAGAGTTTCTCCCATCAGTAATTCATATCCTCAAATGGTGCAGGTGGCTACCATTGTGCTTTAATGAAGACACTATGCCAATGGGATAGTGTTAATCCTGTCATGTAGTTAATCTGTCATGTAGTTAATCCATCTCCCTGAGTGGTAGTAGCTATGTCAATGGGAGAAGCTCTCCCCACCTAAACCAAGAGTTAGGTCAGTATAACTGTGTTGCTCAGAGGGGTGGATTTTTTACAGCCCTAAGTGATGTAGTCATTAGGGATGTAAATATCCATTTTAAAAGTTAACCAGTGAAACAATATAATTGTAACCACATAACTGGTTAACTATGCAGCTGGGATCCCGCCAGCCCACGGAGCGGAGCGTGGGGGTAGGAGTTACTCCAGCTGGCTGAGGTCCCACCGCAGGGGAAAATACTCTGCCTCGCCATGGTCCTGCTGTGTCGTGGGCAGGGAACTGCTTCCCCTATCTGGCCCTCCAGCTACTAGATAATCACACCAGTAAAGCTAATCCTTACTAGTCAACCTTTTATATTCCAGCTGTGTCTAGACTGGCCACTTTTTGCGGCTAATGCTTACCAGTCAACCTTTTACATTCCGGCTGTGTCTAGACTGGCCACTTTTTGCACAAAAGCCGTCGCTTTTCCGGAAAAACTTGCGAGCTGTCTACACTGGCCGCTTGAATTTCCGCAAAAGCACTGATGATCTCATGTAAGATTGTCAGTGCTTTTGCGGAAATACTATGCTGCTCCTGTTCGGGCAAAAGTCTTTTTCCGAAAAACTTTTGCGCAAAAGGGCCAGTGTAGACAGCAGAGATTTGTTTTCCCCAAAAAAGCCCCGATCGCGAAAATGGCGATCGGGGCTTTTTTGCAGAAAAGCGCATCTAGATTGGCCACGGACGCTTTTCTGCAAAAAGTGCTTTTGCGGAAAAGCATCCTGCCAATCTAGACGCGCTTTTCCAAAAATGTTTTTAACGGAAAACTTTTCCGTTAAAAGCATTTCCGGAAAATGCCAGCGTAGGCGCAGCCCCCTAGTAGTTAGACCAATGTAAGTCTATAGCAAAGCCCAGACTTATTAGGCAGTAGCTAGGCCAATGGGAGAAGCTCTCCTGCTGACATAGCCCTAAATCAGTGTGACTGTTTCTCACCCCCCAGTGAAGCAGTCATACTGATGTAAGTCTGCAGTGTAGACCGGTCCTGACAGAGTAGTTGGGTCAATGCTGTCACCTGTGTGGTGTCTACACGGGGTTAGGTCAGGACTGCTGCGTGCTGGGGGGCAGGAGGATGGATTTCACACCCCTGGGCGACGTAGCTAGGCTATTGTTCCTAGTGTAGCTGTAAGGCGCAGCCCCCCCTGCAGCTCGCTGAGAGCCCCTCCCAGAGGGGGGTTGTAGGCCTGCCATCGACTAGTTCTGCCGAGGTTACAGGCACCGGGCCGCGCTCCCTCTCTGCACCCTGGGCTCTGAGCACATTTAACGCCTCCCGCCTCCCTCCGCAGCGGGGTGTACGGGAGCGAGCCGCCTCGGCGCGGCCCTCGTCACGCGCGCCGCACCGCGCGCCAGCCGCAGCC